CTTTTGGGGGATATGAGTCCTTTACCATCCCCTTATTATTAAAAGGGAAGTACAAATTGAAAAATGGTCTAATTTGGCCTCAATTTCAATTTCAATTTTAGATTTTGTACATTGTTGATCAAAATCGTCAAGGGTAATTTGGTCATTAAATCTTATTAAACGATTAGGGGATCCGCGTGTTTCTAATCGGGTGGTTAGTGGATCAAATATTGCCTAATACATAAAACGAATCACTAATCGGGTTTAACAACTTCAAAAAACAATTATTCGATCCTAACCATTCAACATATATGGTATCTAATTAAAGGCATATTCGAATTACATTGTAAGATATTCTCTATATCTCGCCTAATTGCTAACTAAATTTCTTAAATATTTGATCTAATATAATCCTAACCATAAACTACAACACAATATCTTTATTTTCCCTAAAATCGTGTATCATTCATTTTGATGTCAATCAAGAAGATATGATAGTTAACGTATCCAATATTTTGTGCTTCTTCTACAAGATTTTCGAAACTTTTAAAGCCAAAAACCCTAACATTCTACTTCACTATAAATATCAAACGTCTTTCTTATTTCTTGCAAGCGCATTGCAGACAAAATATTGCAGACAGGTGATCGGCAAAGAAAGGAAAATCGATTCAAGAGGAGATGAAGAAGAACTCCCCGTCGAGAAATCGAGAAAGCTCAACTCATGGAGAATAAGAGCAAAAGGGAGATGGGATACAGAGATTGTGCACAAACTCATCTGCAGGAACAAGAAAGTCAAGGCTCAGTTAAGATCAAGCATAATCAGAGCAAAATCAAAATCGGAATCAAAACAAAGAGTGACGATTCCGAAGCAAATTGAAAAGCTTGTGAAGAATGAAGCGTTGAGTGAGAAAGCGAACTCACCAGTGAGTTGTGCCAATGTCGCAAAAGGGATTTGCATAGTAAGGAGGCGAATCACCAGAAGAAGAACAAAGAGCAAGGGAATCAAATCCCTAAATCAAAATTTGGGGATAAAGCAAATGAATCAAGAGGGAGTGTTGGATGTTGATTCATAACTTAATCCTACATAATAGAAAAGACAAAGAGAAGTGTGAGAAGATGAAGATGATGATGAAAGGAGAAGAATCGTAAGAAGCATAAGGTGAAGAGAAGAACAAGTGTTTTGTCGTAGGAGGAGGAGGAAGAAGAAGAAAGAAGAAAAGTCCATTGGGCCATATAAGTAATTAGGGCCCATATGTGTTAAGGGGTTTCGTTTATTAAGAAGAGTATTAGGTTATATGGTTGTAAGAGAACATTATCTAAGTGATTAACAATATAGTCTTTGGAGGAAAACGGCTTTTGTGTCTCTCTAGAACAAACACACCAAATTTGAGTGAGAGATAGAGAGGAAGAGATCTAACCAAAGAGATCTAAACATTCTCTTCTCTCTACTTAACATAAATCAATACGTTTTTGATTCAGTTAACTGTAAAGAACATTTAACACTTTTATAAAATTATAAATTATACATTATTTAATATATAATATGAAAACCAAAAATCGATACCCGTGATGTACCGCGGGTTGAATAAAAAACTTGAATATATTTGAAATTTGATATATCCATATTCAAAAAGTTTATACGATATTAAATTTTGATACAGATATATAAAATAATACACATGTTTAACCACATTAAAACCCCTTCTCCTAATTAAAAATTTAACAACAAACAAAACAAAAAAAACATATTTTATATATTGTGTATATAGAACATTATCAAATACTTAATAGGAAAACTGCATAAAACCGATGCCCGCGGTGAACCGCGGGTTTAATCCTAGTACTTACTATAATGCATAACATTTTTTTCTAATTTAAATTTTAAATTCATGCAAACTTCATGTATGGGTAAGTGTAACTCTATTTAATGGGGGAATATAAAATTTGTTTTTATGTGTTCCCAGAAATATTAAGTTATGTACATGTACCATTTGCCGGTGTTAATCAATCAAAATGAGAAATGTCGGGTTTGATAGTGACATAGAGCAGTAATAAAAAGAAATAAGCCATAAAAATAGTTAAAGGTTTTTTTTTTTTTGCCGTCTAGATTTATTATTTATTACAAATTATGAGAACTTGTTACATAGACGATTCTACAACGGACAATTCCTTCCGACCCTTATTAGATCCACGCCTACGACACTTCCTTCTTCATGCTTGATGGACACCTTCAATGACCACGACCTGACGATACTTCCCTCTCTGCGTAGAATCCTGGCGAACGGCTATAATTGTACATCGCTGGAGATCTCTTGCATACTTGCCTCCATTAATCTGCAAATTTGTTAATAAATCGCAGTATCTGAGACTCGAACCCCAGACCTCTTGGTGTAGAAGCATTAATTAACCCTTAATCAACCAATGGGACAAGGGGGCTTCCACAGTTAAAGGTTAGAACCACTAAATTTATAAAATTATTATACTTAAACCGTAGAAGAGGGTAAAATAATTAAGAAAAGAATAATGTTACGTTTTCCAACAACACTTCCCCTTTTCATTTGACAAGGAATATATTTTATTTTATTATTACTTGCGTGAACATAGAATGTAAGAATAGTATTAATACTTTGGGAAATGATGAGTTTGCTTTTACAAACAAAATAGAATAAAGTTATAGAATACATGAAAATGATCTCCAATGTTGGTCGTCTATATAAGTAGGTTAGTCAGCCTAGTCATAACAACTCATTCATAAACTCTCAAAATCTCTAACCATCAAAAAAACTCTTTTGAATAGCTCCCATGAATTCTATCGACTACCCTCCTCCTTCTCTTGTCATTTGCCCTATCAGACGAATAATTTCAGCAAAATCGCGTAGCAAAACGACAGAAATTAGTGGGTCATCCTTTTCAATAATCTACAACTCTTATCATATCTCTGATTATGATGATGCCGAAGACAAGACTCATCAGCTTCGCTTGTTTCTTGGGTGCAACAATGAAGAAGGCGAACACTACTGCTATGCTTGCAACAATTATCATAAAAGTGGTACGACCTATTATTTTTGCAACAAATGTGAAGACTATTACCACAAAGAATGTGTTGAGTCTCCCCCTATATTCTTTTCCCCTTGTCACCCAAAAAATCCTCTTCAGCTTCTCGACTATAATTATGGCACAACAAGATTTTATGATAAGGAATGCCATTCTTGTGGATTAAAGATAAAGGGATTAGGTTATTACTCTTTTACTTGTGATCTTTGGTTGGATCCTGTTTGTGCAAGAAAACGAGAATTTTCTGCTATAAACAATCCAAAAAGGCATGAGCATATGCTCCACTACTTTCCCAGAAAAGCCTCACTTACTTGTGATGTTTGTGCATTGGATGATAGCAAATATTGCTTCTACTCTTGTCTCCAATGCGATTTTATTGTCCATAGAACCTGTATTTACTTACCGCGTGTCATACAAATATCTTATCACATTCACCGTCTTTCTTTTACTCTTTCTCTTCCTTTCCAAAATTTGTTTTGCGGAGTTTGTGGACGGAAGATTAACGAAAACTATGGAGAATATTCTTGCACAAAGGGTTGCGTTTATGCTGTGCACTCTAAGTGTGCTACTCGGCTTGATATATGGGATGAAAAAGAACTTGAGGACCAACCAGAGATGTTAGAAAATAATTTGAAGTCATTTGAGGAGATAGATAATGGGATTATACGACATTTTAGTCATGCGCACCATCTGATGAGACTTCATGAAAATATTGAAAGATTTTTTGATGGAGAACAAAATTGTCAAGCGTGCATACTCCCTCTTGATGATGGTAATGTTTATAGATGTATGCAATGTGATTTCGTTTTTCATGAAGCATGTGCAAATCTTCCTCGCTTCAAATATAATATGGTGCATCCCCACCGGTTAATTCTAAGACCGATTGATAAATATTTCTTTTGTCATATTTGTTATCGATATTCGTGCGGTTTCAGCTACATGTGTAGCGAAGGGTGTCGCTCTTATTCTGTGGACGTAAGATGTGTTTCCTTTTCCGAAGTGGTTGTTCATCCATCTCATCCACATCCTTTGTTCTTAATCTATGATCGGAAAACTGCTCAAGCATGTTCGATATGTCGAACAAAATCAGCTTATATTCGAAGTTCAAGTTGTGCGAAATGTGATTTTTCTTTATGCTTTCGTTGTGCCACTCTTCCATACAAGGTTAAGCATGAGGATGATGAGCATATTCTCACCCTTTGTTATGAGAAAAATGCAAGTGGTCTTTATTGGTGCCAAGTTTGTGAGAAAAAAACAAATCCGAAGAAAGGATACTATACATGCAATGAGTGTGGAGTCACATTCCATATTAAATGTATACTAGGAGAGGACCCCTATATAAAAGCAGGAACAATTAACGAAGACTGTATGCAGAAGGTTGAGGTTATTCCTAACAATCGTCTAAGTCGACCCATCTGCAACAAATGCCAACGACGGTGTCGATACAAGATAGTATTCAAAACATCTAATGGAAATATGATTTGTTCGGCCAGGGAGGTTTATGGTTTAAAAGTTTATGTTAAAAATGTAGGGGCCATAGACGAGTTCGGTGATGTGGAGTAAGTTGATTTCCTAATGAAAAAAATATAATGAAAGAAATAAAAGAGTCTAGCAAGCCGTAGGGCCTTAAGATAATTCTGGATAATATATATTCTCGTCGTGAAATAAAAGAGTCTAGCAAGCCGTAGAGCCTTAATGTAATTCTGGATAATATATATTCTCGTCGTGAAATAAGTAATGAAAGGGAAGACCCGCCCCTGGTCAATTGTATTGTTGCCTGTACAACTTTTTAGTGTTTTTATTGTTGTTGTGAGCTATTATTATGTATCAAAGAAAAATGATTAGTAAATACTAAAAGTTTTAGTTATTTGAAATTTTGAAGTCACAACCGAAGAAGACAAACCACTTCGAATAAAACTTTCATAGATCGACCACTAAGCTAACACAGAGATGTTACAAATGTATATTACAAAGAACACAATTTATTGAAATTCACATGACATATTCATACATTATAGAACATAAAGGATTTGTATTTGTATACAATACAGGATTTGGATTATTAAAGAGAGAAATGAACACACAAAAGCTTAGTCAAAGACAAGTGAAGGAGATAAAGTTTAAAATGTTCTTCTAAGGGGAAGAAGTGAAGCTATAAGAAGAATAAGACAAGGTACCAAGTTGCCAACTTGTATGGATTTGCTCTGCCTTTGCATCTTCACCAGCTGCACCCATCGCGACGTGTAACGGGTACAAATGCTCGGGCAACGGATGCGCCATTTTTGCATTCGGAGCTCTCTCTTCCCACTCATTCACATCTCCATACCTGCAAAACACATAAACAATCAATAACTTATCACAAAATTGAAGCAACAAAAGGTTTAAACTTTCTAACCTTCCTTGAAGTAAAGAATCTCTAAGCCAATGATCAAACTCCAAAGCCCAAGGAATCGATGAGCCATTAGTGATATTGAAATCAAGCTTCCTCAAGTTATGAGTAGCACTTCCAGAGCCAATGATAAGAACACCTTCATCTTTCAATGAAGCCAATGCTTTACCCATATTATAATGATAACTCCCATTTTGATTTGATTGAACAGAGAGTTGACAAATCGGTATATCGGCTTCTGGATACATCAACATAAGAGGAACCCAAGCACCATGATCAAGTCCTCTCTTTGTATCTTCATCAACACGTTTCATTCCTCCTTCTTTCATTAACAACTCTTTAACCCTCTTCCCTAATTCAATTGCTCCTGGTGCTTCATATTTCAACTACAAACAAACATTCAAAATCAACCCCAATAGAGATGATTTAAACTTATAAAAATCAAAACTTATGCATCCTTCAACGATCTAAGAACCTTATTGTGAATCTATTGAGACAAAAAAAAGTTAGTTTTTTTTTTTTTTTTGTTACCTTGTACATAGGATCAGGGAAGCCAGAGAAATCGTGGATCGTGTTGTTATGAAGAACAGTGTTGACAGATGGGAATTTGGTGTCCCAATGAGCAGAGATGACTAAAATCGATTTGGGTTTTTGAGGAAGAACTTTGTGAGTCCATGATTTGAAGAATTGTCTTGCTTCTAAGGTATCGTCTATGCTTAAAGTTGGAGATCCATGAGACAAGAAGAAGGTTTGATTCACTTTCTCCATTGAAAATTGAATCTTTCTCAATCTCGAGACTTTTGTTTTTTTTGCAAATGTTTGTTTCACCAACTCTAATAATTTTGGTTCCTCCCCAATTTTGATGTTGTCTGAATAAAGAAACCTTTTTTGTTTGTTTTGTTTGTCAAAAAGGACACACCTACCTACCACGACGACCAGGGAATGTGTGTGTAATTAACCACATTTAATCTTTTTTTTTTTTTTTTATCGTCTGGATTTATTATTTATTGCAAATTATGAGAACTGTTACATAGACGATTCTACAACGGACAATTCCTTCCGACCCTTATTAAATTCACGACAGAAGACACCTCCTTCTTCATGCTCACCTCCTCCTTCACGATCTTAATGGACACTTCTCTCTCTGCGTAGAATCCTGGCGAACGGCTATAATTGTACATCGTTGGAGATCTCCTGCACACTTGCCTCCAATAATCTGCAAATTTATTAATAAATCGCAGTATCTGGGACTCGAACCCCAGACCTCTTGGTGTAGAAGCATTAATTAACCCTTGATCAACCAATGGGCCAAGGGGGCTTCCACAACCACATTTAATCTTTTTTTTTTTTTTTTTTTTGGTCGGAATTAACCACATTTAATCTAAGGATGAACTTTTTGTTTTTACTAAATAAGTTGAAACATGTTTTAACAATTTTGATTTATGCGATTAGGCCTGGAAAAATAGATCGAACCCGAAAATCTGAACCGGAACCGACCCTTAAAAATTTCGGTTATGAATATGACCCAAATATCTGTGGATATCGGTTCCGCTCCGGGTATTACTAATACCCTATATCCGAGCGGCTAATCCGATTACTCGAGACTACCTTTGAATATCCAAAATATTTGTATTTGATTAGATCCGATACTCGAACGAATACCCGATTATTAAGATTACTCGAACGGATATCCGGTTATCCAAGATTACCCGAACGGATATTCGAATATCCGAAATATTGGTATATTTTCCAATATTTTGTACTCGATTATATCCGAAATCTAGCAAAATATTCGAAATTTAACCCAAATCCCCAAAAAACATACAAATATTTGGGGTACTTTTTGAGTATCAGGTAAAATATACCCAAACCGATGAGTACCCAAATTTTTCGGGTATAGGTTTTGAAAATCTAAACCCGACTGACTCGGACCAATTTATTATATTTACCCTATTAAGTCCTAAAATCCTCTACCCGAGGGACCTGACTCCGATCGGGTTTTACCTGAATCCGAGCTACGTAGTACGTACCTGAATGCCCAGGCGTGATATCCAAAATACTTCTTAAACTAATACACAGTGGAGACGTCTATGTGTTTAGATGAAGGTGTTGTTACAAAATGCTTCTATTAAATCCCTAAATTATTCAGTCAGATAGACAATATTTCATCCCCACATTCATACATCAAAGTCGATCCATAATATACAGAAACCAATCTAAAAGATTTCATCTTGTCATTGCAACTAAGCTCCATGGAAGATCTTGTGTTTTTCTCATGTTTGGAACAGCTTCTTGCATATATGCTTCGTTAGACAAAACTTCTCTTCAAACTAAATCAAAACGTGTTTACTACAGCTGCCTTGATGAACTACCAGGTAATTGGGCAGATCTCAAATGCTCTTCCTGAAAGAACGAAAAAACAGAAGATATCAACATGTGGTTCTAGCATACAATGATACTGTGAAGGAAATAATTTATTCAGGCAGCTGAGACCTGCATAGTGTAAGTGAAATTGGGAGGAGGTCTGAAATCGATTTGGCCCTGCGTGGGGCAATCAAGCAACAAATATTTACAATAAGATCATTCATTATACAGCTTCTAATCTCAGTTTGGAGGATTTTATAATGTACCAGCCCAGGGATGGCTTGCTGATTCGTGAAGAAGCTATCCTGCGCCGGTGCTATCGAACTCAGTTGTCCCTGAAGAGTCAAACGTATGTCATTAACTTTTACTTGGCACAGATTTGGGAGATTCAAGAATTTAAAGTATATGTAACCCTACCAGGCCTTGGATGGTTTGTTGATTCACATAGTAGCCTTCATGAGGTGGCTCCATTAGATTTAACTATATCCACAGTGAAAACAGGTTTAGTATTATTAGGGTTTATAATAGATGTCGAATCGCTTAACAAGGTTTGTATTAATCAACTAACATAGCATACCAATCCTTGAACGTTCTGTTGAGGACCATAGTAACCATTGATACTCATTTCCTCTGAACTTATATTTTCCTGCACAAAATGTTAAAACTATAAGGCTATATCCAAAACATCCTACTCTTACTGTCATTAAACAATGTGCTGTTACGATGATAAACTAATAAGATAAAACCAAAGCACAAACCATTGGTTGCAAGCTCTGTTGAGATTCAAGCATTTGGCCAGCCTCTTGTTGTACCTTCATAAGATCAATTTGAGGATCTTCTTTTAAGCCTTTGAAGCTTTTGAAACTAAAAAAATGCACAAAGGTTTAGATTGGCGAGAAGCTTTAGTGAAAAAACATACCTTTCTTTTCCTATAAACTGTCTTCTTTTTTGTTGCTTTTACGCCAGCCATTACTTGGTTTTCTTCCTCATGAACACCATTATTAAGCTGGCTATTAGACTCAGTGATGTTGTTTCTAGCATTATTCATATCAACACAATTTTTCAGGGTCTCAACTAGTGTGCGCAATACGATGTTGTAGTTTTCTTCTGACACACAACCTTCCTCACTCAATTCAATGGCTCGACTACACAAATCGTTATAGCGCTGAACTCGGGTCTGTATCTGGTCTGCTCCTTCACCAGCTAATACTCCACTCTTAGCATCTTTTGTCCACCTTTTCAATATATATCGAGGCGGGATGCTGGCGAAACCACACATCTGCAGAATCATCAAAGCATGCCGACAAAGAAACCCTTTGTATTCAAACATACGACAAAAGCAGCAAAGTTCTGACTTAGTTTTGCTCCACGTTACAAGAAAGTCATCGTCTTTTTCACAGTCTTGAACTCTAAACGTCGCCATATTTTCATCTTCTTTTTCCTTTCTAGGATGGCAAGCGACAACGCCCAAGACCTCAACTTGAAATTTCTTAAATATCGTGTGGGTGTAAGTTGTTGCCATTTGCTTCTCCCAGGGAGAGGGAGACTTCAATGCAGGTTGTTTGTGGCAAGTATCGAAATCTGCAACAGATTCCTCTTCGTACCTATTCTGCAGAATCGCACCGTATTGCCTCAAGAATTCTTTCAGTGTGATTTTCTTATGGACGTACTTATCGAAGAAAGAGTTCACACTTTCTGAACGTTGAGATGTCGACATGCCAGCCAGAAACACATTGCTCATAAATGTGGGCACCCACTTTTGGCGATGTTCATGCAACCATAGCAGCCATTCATCATTCTCAAGTCCAAATTGGCTGACCATTTTCCACCACCTCATATCAAACTCATCATCTGTCCAAGATCTGAAGATACATTTGTTGAATTTCTGCAAGAAATTCTCATGCCGCTTCATCACATGTGAGAAATATTCAGGAATCTTTTCTAACACATGCCATAACGCAAAGCAATGACGAGTGTTTGGTAGGAGCTCTGAAACAGCAGACATCAAAAATTTGTCTTGGTCAGTGAGTATAACTTTAGGAGCTCGACCACTCATGGCTCGTAGCCATGTTTTGATCAGCCACACAAAAGTCTCCATAGACTCATCAGCAACCAATGCACAGCCAAGTAACATAGGTTGGGAGTGATGGTTCACCCCAATAAATAAAGCTAGTGGCAACTTATCGTTAAACTTGACATAAGTAGTATCAAAGGATACCACATCATTGAAGCTCAAATAGTCATCTCTGCTCTTGGCATCAGCCCAAAACAAATTTCTTAAACGTTGGTCCTCGTTCAGGTCTATCGCATAAAAGAATTTGGGGTTTTCTTTCTTGATACGCTTGAAGTACTCAAGCAGTACTTGAGAATCTCCATCTTCCAAAGCCAGATACCGACCCTTATCAACCTGACTACTGACATCGGTCTGGAGAAGAGGCCCAATATTCTTGTATCCCCCAGATTGTCTCGACATTTCAACATACATTTTTTTGGTCCGTTCACTAACCGCGTGCAAAATGTCGATATTATTCTTCTCAGCTAACTTGACATTCCTCTGAATCCGGAAATGATAAGCAAGAGCAGGTAAAAGTTCGTGATTGTGATCCTTTACAAACTCATGAATGATCCATTTCCCATCCGGTTTTCTCTTCACATGCATACTAGCCTTGCAATCTGTTTTTTTCACAGTTGACCTTCGACTACTACTACCACTACTCTCAGACTCAGGAGTCACACCATATCTGGAACAAGCAAACTTAGCATCAATGAAGTCTTTAGTTTTCTTGGAACGTCTGCTGTTTTTAATCGACGTAGTAAAACCCATAGATTTCGCATATTCTTGATAAAAGATATACGCTGCTTCATGGGTTTCAAAATCTATACCATTTCGTGGCTCAAGATCCAGATCACCACTAAATCCAACATCTCCTCCTATATTGAACTCATCAACAATTCCTATATCTCTGTTACTATGCGGTTCAACTACAATGTCAATCATATGTTCATCCCCTGCATCACTAACCTGATTCTCTTGCAAATCCATCCTAACCTTAGCCACATATGGATTCACTAACACACTCAAAAGCAACTACCCCACCATGGGCTTCCATGAAATTGGAAACTGAAACCTCTCCACTAGAGATAATCAACCGTAGCACCTGAAAATGTCACAACCAAACTCCATAAGAACCAGAGAGACATCTTCTACCCAAAAACATCAAACTTGAAACACACATAGCAATATGAAATCAACGGAATCAAACGAAAGTTAAGAATTTTCAACAACATAGTTCTAGTAGTAGAAAAGTTCTCGTTCTAAGCCAAAAAGGAGTAAAATTTCACAAAAAATAAGTGAAAGAAACTTTTATTAGTATCAGCATAAAAGATAGAGACTTTAGTGTAAAACAGAGAAGAAAACCTGAAAATTCAATTAAGGGACTACAAAATTCGAAATTTTCAACCACATACTTCTAGTAGTAGAAAAGTTCTGGTTCTAAAGCCAAAAAGAGTAAAATTTCAGTGAAAGAACTAAACTTTCATTAGTATCAGCATACAAGATAGAGACTTTAATGTATCTTAGGGCAGGAAACCTGAGAATTCAAACGAAGAGACTACGAAATTCAGGAAATTTCAAGCCTTTAGATTGCTGAGGGCTTTTTACTGCATTTTCATGGCCACCCAGAGAGCGACATAGGAAGAGAACGCAAAATTCTGACGTTTTAAGAGCAAAGGAAAGAAGAACACGAAGCAGGCGAGTGGGGAAGCCAAAGCGAGTGAGGAAACGAAGGAGCGTGAGAGAAGAGAAAATCTAGGGTTCCTTTTTTGGAATTTTTAGGGATCTTGGAAGAGATGTTTTTTTTTTTTTTTTTTTTGAATCCCTTACTCGCCTTTTACTAATTTGACACAAAGCGTTTGTTCTCGACGCGATTTCTTCTTATAAGCGCGTCTGGCGCGTTTTAGGTGCGTCGCTGTTTTAGGTTTTTATGTATTAATCAAGCTTTTCTTTTGTTTTTAGAACAAACATTTAAACATATAAAATCGTAGATTATCTTTTATTTTTGAAATGTTTAACGTGATCAAATAGAAAATTGCAAATTTCACTCCTAAAAGGTCTCCAGCAGAGTACAAGATCACAAATCTTCGATGTATATGCCATATATTGTGAACTTAAAATAATTCAAAATCCAGGTACACCAAACTAAAGTACTCAAAACATTTCATACAACTCATCTTATGATTTGCTCAACTTTCCAAACTATAGCTTTTAATTAAAATTCAAAATATCATTCCTAAAAACTATTGTTTACATAAATAATATGATGCGGTACGAACTTTTCATGTCTAGTTATTCACTTTTACATTTGCACTTCGAAGGATTATAGATAATGAGAAACTTTAAAATTACTCCTTGTCATTCTTTTAATCATTACTAACAAATTTTCTCTATTTAAAATAAAAATTAAATTGGTGATGAAAAAAAAAGAAAATATCAAAAGAGGTGAAATAGACACGTCAGCTGAAAGATACAGCTTTGGGTAGTAACCAGTAACTAGGGGTGGGCACGGAGCGGATATCCGGGTTTTTGGTGGTATTTGTTATTCGATTCGTTTTTTCCGAATACTAAGTTTTCCGATTCGTATTTGCTTCGTTAGTGACCGGATATCCGGCTGTTCGAATATCCGTTAAAATCCAAACTATTTGCCGGATATTCGATCCGTTAAGTATTTGTTTAAAATTAAACAAAAAAAATTGAATAAAAAAATCTAATCCAAAAATTGTAAAATTTTATTAAAAATAGTAATATTTTATCAAAAATATATATATTTCTCCTTTAATTGTTCAAACTAGTAGTTCAAACAATTAATTCGGAGATTAAAAATTATAAAACGCTTACAAGAATAATAAAATTATAATTTATATATATAATAATTTATATATATGTATGTATTCCGGAGCGAAGCGGATATCCGCCAATTTGAATTATAGTATTTGATATTTGCTCCATTTTTTACGAATACCTATTTTTAATATTTGATTTGCTTTGAAAAGTTACGGATATCCGGATTTTTCAAATCGAATCGAATCGAATAACGGATCGAAGCAAATCTAACGGATATTTTGCCCAGCCCTACCAGTAACCACTTTCATTTGTCCGTCTCGCTCTTTTAGCCTGTCAACGCTTTTCTATTTTGTCTTTTTTCTTTCTTCTAAAAATTCTCTCTTTTATTCCTTCCATTTTCCAATCTCTCTCTCTTTCTTCCTCCTTCTCCAGTTACTTTGGTCTCCGCCATGGCTACACAGTAAGCTTTCTCTTCCCTATTCGACTATAAATTTGCTAACTTTGAATTCGCTTAGGTCATTTCTAATTTCACATTCATTATTTTCCTTTTTTTAAATTAAATTTATTACAGGAGTCTACTTTCCTCTTTCGTCACTTGACTATGACTGACCTACCATAGTTAGTTAGATAGAGAGAGATACGAAGACAAAGAAGATATTTTCTCAGCTGGGTTTCCCTTAAATCCTTCTGGGTTTCACGAAACTGCAAGCAAAATTGTCCCTTTTTACGATTTGCGGCGGCGTTAGGGTTTCGTTTGGATTTTGTGATTCGTGAGTGTTAAAGCTTTTAGGGGAAGCAAAAATGGTTAGGAAACATGGTTGGCAACTTCCTGCTCACAAATTTCAGGTCTTTATCTCAACCTTTCTCTAATTCTCTCCAATTTCTCGCATTTGGGTTTTAGTTCATTTGTGAATATTGAACAGGTGGTTGCGATTACGGTGTTTTGCTTATTGAGTGTTGCATACTATGCGTTTTTTGCTCCTTTTGTTGGAGGACGTATCTGGGAGTATATTCTTCTCGGTGTTTACTCTCCTGTGGTATGTTACCTATTCCTCAATTGATGGTTTTCACAGTTTGGATTCAGCGGTTATGCTAGTCGCTTTAGAGGACATGGCAGTTTTGCATATCTGATACCCTTTTGCTGCTTGTGTCGATGTGTGTTTGCAGGCTCTGATTGTTTTCGTTCTTTATGTTCGGTGTACTGCAATCAATCCTGCGGATCCAGGAATCATGTCGAAATTCGATAGAGGTGCGAACAGAGGTGATGATTTACCTGCTGCCAAAGATATCTCGAGAAAATTTGATGAAACTGGCAGCCAGATGCAGTCTTCGCCTTCGGTTGCTTCGAGGACTTCTACTTTACCTGCAAACTCTAGCGTGAAGGGTACTGTAGGAGATGCTCAAAGAGTGGAAGATGCTAAAAAAAATTCTTGCTTTAATCCTTTGGCGATATGCTGTGGCGTGTTTGTTTATGAAGATTGTCGTAGCAAAGATGAGACGGATGAACAGCAGGGGGATAGGGAAGAAGCTCTGTTTTGCACATTGTGCAATGCTGAGGTATTATGTTACAATTGTTAAGTTTATGCTTGAAGAGTAAGAAGCAACCGCTTTATCCTTTGATCACCGTTATTCCTTCTTTGTGACAGGTCCGTAAGTTTAGCAAGCATTGTCGAAGTTGCGACAAATGTGTAGATTGTTTCGATCATCATTGCCGGGTAAAGTTCTTACTGTTATGACAATTGAGTGTTTCTTGTAGCTGATTGACTAGAGTTTTATGGGTATGATCAAATGACTCAGCTGTATTTAAATGCAACAGTGGCTTAACAATTGCGTCGGTCGCAAGAATTATATGACTTTTATATCCCTGATGGCTGTCAGTCTTCTCTGGGTATGTATATCTCCTTATATGCAATTTCTCAAGCTCATTGTTTGCTTAACCAATAATCAATAAAACTTTCTTTTCTCAGCTCCTTATTGAAGCTGGAGTTGGGATTGCAGTTATAGTGCGTGTGTTTGTTAATAAAAAGGACATGGAAACCGAAATCGTCAATAGACTTGGAAATGGATTTTCTCGGGCACCTTTTGCCACTGTTGTTGTAAGTATTCTTCTTAGTGTAAGGCACTTGCAATATGTTGTGCATCTATTGTTGATGTTTCTGATGATATCTTACGTTTTATGCAGGGTCTCTGTACTGCTGTTTCCATGCTGGCATTGTTTCCATTGGGTGAACTTTTCTTTTTCCACATGCTCCTCATTAAAAAGGTATTCTTAGTCCGGAAGAAGTCAATATCGCATTTTTATGTTTGTAATGTATTCGCTTTACTGGTATGAATCTTGCTAAGACGGTATAAAAAGCATTCATTGTTATTTTAATCTTATAGTCAACATTGTTCCCAAAATAATTGAGTAGCACATGAAAATGCATGCTCTTCATAGTTCTAGAATAGAATTTGGTTTCCCTTTATGATTAAGACCATATGATCCATTCCTCTAACCTGTCTCCTGCTTAGAAGATGTGGTATATAACATATGTTCTCTACTTTTTTTTGTAATTGGGCTAATCACATGTTCTAAGCAATGCAAACTCATTTTTTCGTGTTTATATACCAATAGGGTATTACAACTTACGAGTATGTTGTGGCAATGAGAGCAATGAGCGAGGCACCAGCTGGAGCTTCGATTGATGAGGAACTTCCTAACGTGCTGTATTCTCCCTCTGGATCTGCCACGACCGGCTTTAGTGGTGGAAGCTCCCTCGGTTTACCTTACAAGGGAGCCTGGTGCACTCCTCCTAGAGTGTTCGTTGATTATCAGGTATCATTTACTTTTCCAAGAACCGTAAACATAGCAATTTTCATATAGCTTCCACTGAGTGTATATTCAGTTATTGACATGTCGGATTGATACTTGTCATCTGTTACAGGATGAAGTGATTCCTCATTTGGACCCCAGAATGGTTCCATCAACCGTAGATCCAGATGCAGCTGAAACAGCAGAGAGGGGCAACAAGATTCCAAAGAGACCTGTCAAAATTAGTGCTTGGAAACTCGCAAAATTGAATTCAAATGAAGCTACAAGGGCAGCAGCCAGAGCCAGAGCATCCTCATCTGTCTTAAGACCAATAGAAAACCGTCATTTACATGATGATGAGCTTAGTTCCAGAAGTGGCACCATCAGTGTAGTCAGCAGTGTAAGCACAGAAGCAAATGGGGCTGTGTTGAGTAAAGAAATAAGAAACAATGATCCAAGGTTGTCTCATTCTAGAAACTCTTTTGCTCCAAGCCAAGGTAGTCGGGACGAGTACGACACGGGGACCCATAGTGTGAGCAGTTTCAGCAGTCCAAGTCATGTTCATGAGACCGTCACACTTAGTCCTCTACCCCAGTATCATACAGCTGGCCACCGCTTCACTGCAGTGGCCGCGTCAAATTCTTCCCGGCCACCTCTTAATCCAGCAACTAATCACATGATCCACTCAACCTTTGATGAAAAGATAATGCAGAAAGGAAACCACGCTGATCCACTGCTTCTCCCTGCTCCTGCAGCTTCTCTTCTGAGAGATGTGAGAAGAACATCAGTTGTTTGGGACCAAGAGGCAGGTAGATATATATCAGTTCCTGCAACAACATCTGAGCCAAGAACTAGATTATCCTCACAGAACCAGCCAATTCCTAGCTCACACATGGGTAACACTCAGAATCCAAGACCCGTTGTTCATCCGCCTCAAGATTCATCGTCTGGAAAGGCTCCACCTCCGCAGCAGCAAGGAGAGAGACTGATGTATACAGGTGACTCAATATTCTTTGGAGGGCCCCTGGTAAATATCCCGAATAGAGATAGCCTAAGACACGATGGAGACTCGGGAAGAGAGGGACAAGACAGAATGACATTGACATTGCCTCGGGAAGCTAGATTCAAAAGAGACACAACCTCAAACCAGCTTCCAGTGTTTGCTCCTGTAGGTACCCGCAAGTAAACCATCACTCTTTCAAGGCTTATATCTCGCCGATCTTAGACTGAACAAGGACAGGTAGCTTCTTGAGGGTCAGAGTTGGCTCAACTGTTGCAGGAAAGTCTCAAGGATTGATACGATTGTGTGAATCTCTTGGATTTGTGATCGAGAGATTTACGGATGAGTTGATGAGGTAGAAAATAGAATCCTTTGTGATAATTTCTTCCACGGGTTCGATATTCTTAGCCAGATATGACTCTTCACAATTCCCTTTAAAGAACCAGTATTTGTTGTATGACTCCATGAATCTCTCTAACCTCTTGCTTTTATGATCATTACATTCACCACTTCATGTCTAGTATTTCTAAGCGTAAAATATCGTGATCCTGGGTATCAGCAAACTTCAGACACCTTTTAACTAGTGATGTAGTTCTTGATGTGTCACATCTTTGGTCACATTTATAAAGTCGCAACAAATGGCTTTGTCGAAACAAAGAATTCTTCTAAATTCAAAGATCTAAAAAACTTCAAAACGATAAACAAACCCGCTGTTTATGATCATCAAGATTCATATAACTGCAAGTGAGAATTATAGTATATGAAAAAACATCTACTGATTAAAATCTTCAATCAAATACGAGTTGGCATGTTGTTGAACTTCGAGACGAAAGTAACAACTCCTGGATCATCGTCTTACGTTTATCCTCTGTCTCTGGAGTAGTAGACTGAAACAAGATTGTCGCAGTCTTTAAGCAACAAGCATTTCTCATAATATATTTAACCAGCTCTATCTCTTTCTGTGATCCATGTATCCCTGTCCACTTGAAAGTTTCGAGACTCGACCTCAAACATTCAGGAACATAGTTCAATTGATTCTCCAAGCAAACCAGTGGATCCACACAACTATCTTTATGATCCTGAGATCAAACATGAGAGTTTGGCATAAAGATTAATGACAGTAAATTAAACCAAAAGAAACAGACTCTATCGAAAAAACTTACATCATTCAGATCGATATCTAGCTCTCGTAAATTAGGCGAATTTTCGAGAAACCGGACAAGTAACTTTGACCAATTTGCATCACATGGACAAAGCTTCAGATTCTCAAGCTGGTTGAAGACAATACTCTCACTATATAAAGCCTCTTCCGCGCTGTCTCTTACGCATAGTGAAAGCCGCTTGACAGATGTGATTGGTGTAACAAACTTGTTGATATCAGGGAATGTCGTTTCGATATCCGCCACTTCCAACTTAGACATATCTTGAAAATCATAGGAGTAGCTATCCTCCTCTGTAACTAATTTGAAATACTTCAAAGAAGGAGTGTTTACAACAAGCTCATCCATATCAACATCTCTTGGTATCTCTATGGCTAGTCTTTGCAAGGACGAGATCGTTACATTCACTGTTCGAAAAATCTCGGACTCACCCATATAGTCCATTGAACATCGCTCCAAAACTAAATCCTCAAGAACAGGACAACAACTAAGAAGTCGGTGAAGAGAGTTTTCATTTAAATGTGAGTAAATCACACGTCGAAGGAGCAAAGCTTTTAAGGAGGGAAGAGAAGCCGTACGAGGAACATCCACAGAGATCTCATCGCCTATCAGTTTCAAGACCACTAACGATTTGCAGATATACAAACTACTCGGCAAACTAGTAGCACGACACATACAACGAAGGTTGAGGTTTAACTCACGTACGCAGCGAGAAAGTGCTATTACAACCCACAGTTTGATATCTTTAGGTTTAAAGATTCCTGTTGGTATATTAATAAACTTGAGACGGAAGATTTCTATGGCGGGAGCTCTATGTAATGGCAAATGTAGATGAATAAAAGCACGTAACCTCTGGAGTTGAGAGGATGATTGATCGGTATTATCGTACTCAAGCTTAGGCAACGACATCCAAAGAAACTCCCATCGTTTCGACAAAACACTTGTGCTTACGGCAGTTCTTGTTGGAAGAAATTGTAGTACCTTTAAGAGCAATTCATCAGGAAACTGACTGATCTTGTCCATTTCTTCAGAGATTCCAAGGTTTTTTGTTGATTTTCACGACGGTGTGTTTATCATTGACATGAACACCAACTTGTAGGAGAAGAACAGAGGCGGTGAATAGTAATAACACAGAGGACCGAAGAAAACCTAATAAAATCTTTACTAGGGCCGGGCTCGTGTAATATATCTAGGGCTTGGGCCTTGGGGTAGACAAAAACTCTTTAGTCATTTGATTAATTATTTAGATGAATAATTATGGACATTATTTTATTATAAGAAATTTTTGGGTCTTCGAATAAACAAGTGGGCCGTGGTCAATTTATAAAAATGATCTCGAAATTAACAATTTAGCCGTGGTTGAAATAAGCTAAGTGGAAGCTGTTGTGAGTGTGACCAAAGATTTATTTAATGTTTTTACATTTGATTCGTAAAACAAATGCGAATTATATATAACTTAGTGGAGACAAGAGTGGTACGTTTAGTATCTCTCAAGGATCTTTTGATTCGTTAATGGACTTTAGTACAGTATCTCTCAAGGAGTCTGGAGGAGCTCTTCAGATTCTTGATTCCAGAGTTATTGGGAGCTTCTTAATTCAGCAAAAGAGTTCCTCAGTGGGAACAACTTGGTTTTACCTTTAATTACTCTCTTCCTGGTTTATTTTTTGTGTTAGTTTACAAAGGTTTCATGATGTGAGAATCCTCCAATGCATCTATGAAGCCCTAATCTTTTTACTCAAACTAGTACTTCTCATAAGTACACACCAAGAGCCTTAAACAGATATTTCCAGAATTTTTACCAGGTTCACTATGATCCATTGCAACGCCGCGACTCCTCGTTCAGCTTCATCTTCTCATCTGGAAGCTCCAGATCGGACAAAGTATCAACATATGAATGCACATACTCTTTTTTTATCTTCTTCTTCCTCTCTTTGACGATATCCCTTCGAGCATGAATCAACGGAAGCAAAACGTCTTGCCGCTCTCTCAGCATCTGGAAAAGTTCTTCCCATCTCTTTCCAACTCTTTTGCAGAATTAATTTAGTAAACTTAGGCCAGTGGTTAAGGATGTTGAATCTAGATATAAGAATTAAAAATAGCTCAACGTAGTGTAAGAGTTTCTGACTACAAAAACACCACGACCAAAAACATAAAAGTAGTATATTTTTTTTATAGATTCTACAATGAAGAATAAATCTCATACTCTTATTGTTTTTTTTCATACTCTTATATAAAAATCGCTCTGTCGAAGCCAAAATCTAAAAATTGAGAAGAAACTTCCAAGGTTCATATAAATGAAAACATTATAGTAGTATGAGTTGTTGAACCTCGAAAAGAAAGTAACAACTCCTGGATCATTATCTCACGTTCATCCTCTGTCTCTAGAGCAGACTGAAATAAGATTGTCGCTGTCTTTAAGCAACGAGCACTTCTCAAAATATATTTTGCCAAATCCATCACTTTTGGCGATCCATGTATCCCTGTCCACTTGAAATTTCCGAGAGTCGACAACAAACACTCAGGAACACAATTCAGTTGATTCTCCCAGCAAACTGGTGGATCCACACAACTGTTTTTATGATCCTGAGATCAATCATAAAAGCTTGGCTTAAATATATATATATTTTTTTTGCCTGGCTAATATTATAGTGAATAAAACCAAAAGAATAGGTCTATAATGAAGAAACTTACATCATTCAGAGAGACTTCGAGCTCTCGTAAATTAGGAGAATCTTTGAGTAACCGGACAAGTAGCTTTGACCAATTTGAGTCGCATGGACATAGCTTTAGATTCTCAAGCTGGTTGAAGACAATACCCTCAGGATATAAAGCCTGCACATGATGGTGAAGGAATAACGCTCAATAAAACCTGGTTTAGTGTTCTAAAATGAGATGGATAGATAGATGGAAACAGATTACCTCTTCGACATTGACTCTTACGCATAATGATAGCCGCTTGACGGATGCAATTGACCTAACAAACTTATCGATATCAGGGTATGTCGAAATAATATCCGCCTCCTCCAAGTTAGGCATATCTTTAAAATTGAAGGAGTAGCTATCATCACTACCCTCAGTTTCATATTCACCCTTATAATCCGTAATTTTGAAATACTTCAAAGAAGGAGTGTCTATCACAAGCTCATCAAACTGAGAACCTCTTGATATTTTTAGGGTTAGTCTCAGCAAAGACGGGACAATTACACTCAATGTCTTAAAATAGCAACTATACTCCTCAAGACCATCTCGTTCGACAAATAGATTCTCGAGAACAGGGCAAATTGAAAGAAGTTCCTGAAGAGAACTTTCATATGAGTAATCCACACGTCGAAGGAACAGAGTTTTTAAAGACGGGAGACAAGCCATACGAGGAACTGCAGCCACGAGAATCTGGTCTTTCAGTTTCAAGATCACAAGCGATTTACAGGTATACAAACTGCTCGGCAAGCTAGTAGGATTGCGCATACAAGAAATGTTGAGGTTTAACTCACGGACGCATCGGGAAACAACAATTACAACCCACGTAGTGATATATTCAGGTTTAACTATTCTCGGCCAAGTTCGCTCTTTTCTCAACTTGAGACGAAAGCTTTCTATGACCTGAGCTTTATGTAATGGCAGATTCAAATAAATAAAGTTCCGTAAAATTGCTAGTTCAGGCACTGAATCATTGCTATGAACGTACTCAAGTTTAGGCAACCACATCCAAAGAAACTCCCATCGCTTCGATAAAATGCTCGTGCTTGCAGCAACTTTTGTTGGGAGAAACAATAGTACCTTCAAGAGCAATTCATCAGGCAATTGACTAATCTTATCCACGTCTTCACAATCTCCAAGGTTCTGTTTTAACGAAGCTTCTTTTATGGTTGACATAAACACCAACTTGTGGAATACGAAACTAGGCTTCTGTCTGTCTGAGCAACCTAAACGAAGAGAGGCAAGGAACAATAAAATAGAAGAGCGGAAGAAAACCTAATAAAATCTTGAATTATGGTATAAAGAAAATCGAGGATATTAGGGCCGGCTCTAAGGTGGTGTTATAGCCTTATAGGTTTGTGATTTAAATAGAGTTTTAGGGACTTAACTCTATTTTATTTAATAGTAAAGAATCTACTGTTATTCAATCAAGATTTTTAAAAATTGTGTTAAAATTTTGTTTTATTAGTTTTAGATTTGTAAAAAGTAATCTAAATTCTTAATAAAATATGGAGTTATTAGATT